TTAGTTCGTCAACGTTACTGGTTGAATGTATTTCACTTAAGGATTGACTGTGTATTTTGTTCGGTTCATTGAGGTGTGAATCGAACAACCGATGTGCAAACTGAATGAAGGTTATGGCTTCTGACCTTCCGAATGTATATTGATCTCTCTCTTTCAATTTCAAACCGTTCAATTCTAAATTGCAAACTTACAACCTTACTAAATAACACAATTTTGTTCGGTTATGATACCATATCTTACATTTCTACTCCAAAACACTAACATGAGAATGTCCTCGTGCCATATTTCAATGGAATCTCGGCTAAAGAATTTCCCACATACTTTTTCACGTAATCCCGACCGTAGAAAAAGACACTCGATGTTACCAAAGATTGTTGACAGTTAAACGTAACACAGAAATACAAAAGTACGGGTATGGTCCTGACAAAGCAATAAGCACAACCGGGCCATGTTTCGGCCAATTACTAGCGGATTCTGGCACGTCCTAGGCCCCAACCGGAGCTATTTCTGAGACATACTATTTAAAAACCCAAATTGAAAGGAATACTAGTACTCGTAGTTATGAAAAGAAACAAAACTGAAGAGAAATAATACAACTCCTACCAGGTGAAAGCTATCATCTGAAAATTAATAAAATATACAAAGTAACAAAGCAGATTTTAGTCAAACCCTGGGATTCGATCTTCATCTTTCTCATCATTCAATGATATTTCAAGAAGGGAAAATTAAGTAATAAATATGTAACACACGTAAACAGGTTAAATATTGCTGATTAAACATAAATATATGAACACTCAGAATCGACCGATTTATAAATAAAATACAGTGTGCAGCATGACGGACCTACACGGCCTGCTGTGACAACTCACTCTATTGTTTAAATAGCTGAAGAAATGCATGTTTCGCCTAGTTTGGACAATACACTTGTTTTGTATGCACTTGTAACGAGGTTAGGGCAACCTGACACACATGAACACAATGACAGATAAGGTTGAACTCATTTATGCGTGAAACAATGTAGTCTAGACATCAAATCATCTGTCTAATCGCATTATTAAAGTACATCTACAGACAGACAGACAATAGTTTATTAACGTCTCACTTCTGGACATACATAAAACAGCTTTGTACTATTTCACATATATGGAATGTACGGAACCATTCAATAGAATTATGAGAGACAAATTATCACAGAATTTATACATAAATGATATAAACATGATATAGTAAAAAGTTATCCATATAAAACATGTTTTCTACAATTAAGAGTTAAAAAGCAGACTTTGTCAAGTATAAAACACACACTGGAGTCACTGAAAATTAAACACAAATTAAATACATTCATTAATAAGGGTTGCCCTGATATCGTCATATAATGCGCAGTGAAACAAAACATGCTGTCATTACAGTGAAAACATTTTCTATTGTTGACAGGTACACCTTCGTACCGACCGGTTTCAACTCGAATAGGAGCCACGCCACATCTAAACTTGGCTAGTGGCGATCTATAGTTTCTGGGCATCTCTTTTTTTTAAGTATTCTGCCCATATACTTGTTTGTAACATCGGTACATTCTCAATTTATTAAGCCCATTTCGCCCCTCTTCCTTTCTTAATATATCACTCCAACGGGTAACATATTCATTCATACACCATTGTTCCACCTGGGTACAAACAGAAAATTTATCAATAAAACATGTAGCTTTTAATAGATGTCCTAAATTCATATTAGTAAACTTCTTTCTTACCCTACCATTTCTATTTTTACAACCATTTACAGCGTATCTATCAGCCCAGTTAAACACGTGTTTGTTTAACCTACTAGACATATTCTTAAGGCGACACCATTGTCTTGCTACACTTTTCCACTGTCTGACAACAGGCTGTATCCATCCCATGTCCCCAATTACCCAAGACAGCCGCCCCCGTAGTCAAGAACAGACCACACCATACTATCGTACAATTTGGAATAGGTTTGGAAATGCATACCGCCTATTGTCTACATAAGGCAGCATATACATTCATTTAAAAATTGAACGTCAGTTTGGATGGGTTCATTGAAGTGTGAACGATTTAAAAGCGCTGGTTAAACTGCGTGAACCCATCCGAACTGACGTTGAATTCTTATAATTTCATACTTTGTAGTTTACTGGTCTCGTCGAATAATATCGTAACAATGTTTGCTTAAATTTGAAGTCCTCTGGTTTCGCCGAGGAACATTGCAACAGACTTTTTCCCACGCATATTCAGTTTCGCAAAGAAAAATAGTTCTTTGAATATATACACCATAATCTAAAATTATATACAAACAATATTTGGGAGAAATTAAATCTTAAAAATAGGTTACAGGGAGGCGAACAAAAATATATACATGACCTCGATGCACCGAGGCGAGGTCAACCTTTAAGCGCGGATTTATATATGACGTCACATAAGTTTGGAAAGAGGTGCATTTCGAGTCGAGCGGGAGCATGAGGATGAACTTCACTGCTGTTGAAAATTACGTTTATGGGACAGTTATGGAAAACACTCCGACTCCTGAACCCTCTCATGCCACCAGCAAATTGGGAATATCACTGATTTTTGAATATGCTGTTGATGTTTGGATACTCGCAAACCAATTCGAACGATATTGATGGACTGGTGGGGATTGAACCGAGTGCTCTGAAACTTGCGTGTTTTGTGTTAATTTTCAACGTCAGGGTGTGTTATATTTGGAGTTTGGGATTTGTCGCGTGTGCTGTAATACTTTGCTTAGCTGGTGTTTCTTGTCACCTGAGACCTACTGTATGACCAGTTTCATTTTTGTGCCCCGTCACTCCTCATGTGCAGCCACTTCTCGGACTAGAATGCACGGAGAAGGTCGGCAAACTCAGAAACCGGAATAGTAGATTTCTTATTCCGTCTACGGATATTTTCTCGTCTCCGATGACCAATCGGTAAAACAGGCAAGTTTTTAAAAAATTTGTTTATGTTTTAGGCTTTCTCAAAATCTTAAATTTTTACCCCGATGCGATAGTGAATCGGGTTTTAGTTTGAGATTGATCTGGAGCTGTCGCGTTTGCTCTATGTCAGCGGCTCAAACCTGAGCAGGGTACTACATTGTTTTCGTTGTTGCTACATTCCTGTCATTTCCGAAAAAAAGGCATCAAAGTCAATTTCGCTCAATAAATCAATTTCGTTCACCTCAGTAATTTTACAGAATTAATTTTCTTTGCTTGCGTTATTAGTATTGAAAGATTCCATTCCATAACCAAATCACAGTAAGGACAATCCATTTTGTATCATGTATTCGTAGCAGCTAGAGGACATCAAACACCAGAAACAAAGCATTTATTTATTCATGGGTCAGATGACATGTTACAAGACCAGGCAATAATACTAAATTAATTAAATTGCTGATAAATGCAGGGATTAAAAAGAAATTAGAAAAACGAGCTGATCGTAAACACCGATCCAGAATTCGGGGAAATCCCAGAAAGTAGTCCCGTCAAAAGTTCACACCATCAATTTCACAAAAAAGTGTTCACATCGTGTGAACATTTTTTGTCCGTTCACAATATTCGTGACCTACTCGTGTTATTCCGGGAGAAGCCGAACAGCGACTCTCGAGGGCATTTTGGCGACCGGATTCCGTCTTGGCGCAAACGGGCATACCTAAAACAATTGTAAACTCGTTGTGTAATGGTTCACACATATTTCCCCATATATTATATATATTTCAGATGCAATTTGAAGCAGATCTGGACATGCAGAATTATACAGTATGTTTGAACACATTTAACTGTGTCTTGGGTATATTTTTAGATGCAAGACATATGTAAAATCAAATATTATTTCTGAGGGATTCTTTGACGAAGAACTTGAAATCATACGCGCATTCTGATTGGTTTGTCGTATTTTCGCACATAACATTTATCGATAGGGTGACAAGCCTTCTTGCAGGTTACGGAAAAGGGCGAGTGGCGACGAATGCGTTCACAGGTGTGTGAACTCCAAATATCAGATCACGTGACAACCCATTCTGCCAATCAGCATGAAATAAACAGTGTGAACTTTAAAGTATGAAATTATATATATTTGTTGAGCACAAATCCATGAAGCGTAGCCCGAACATGGGCGGCCATGGTGCTTCAATATCTTAATTAGTTATATCACTGGACATTGGTCAATGTGTTTATTTAGTAAACATAGATCTGGGCGGACAGATCACACACTGCGCTGATCACAGCTAGTGACTTTCTAATCTCTGTTAGAACACTGAAGTTGTTAAGGAACCAGCACTTGTTTGGCAGGAAGGTTTCGTTACAAATTGCTATCTTGTCTCTTGGTATACTCTCCCCTCTCTTATTCACAATAATAATGATAATATATATTATTATCACTGACTTTAACTATCACTACTGTATTTTGCATTTGATACTGACCACTGCCATCAAACGAAGTTCTATTAAGTCCAGATTGCTGGATTAACATATTGTGTCAATTTGGGAATCAGCACGTAACACTTTAGTCCACAATTCGATGCAAAAGGTGATAGATAAAAGAGATGCATGTACAATTAATTTAAAACTAGGAGTAAGGTGGTGATCCACAGATTAATATATTACTCGTTAACAGGACAAGTGTACATTTCAAATGTTCGAAGATTGAATTCCTTGTCTCAGCTTTCATCTTATTTACTGTTTCACTTATGACGTCAGTCTGACCTTTCAAGATGGATTCGGCCATCGGCCTTTTACAGTAATGCGGTCCAGAATTATTATATCATCCGTAACTTGCCTGTTGTTGTTCTACAGTCACCATTAGACGTAGTTTTGAAGATGGGCCTCCTTCACAGTCACACTTCATAGTTTAAGTGTTGCGCTGCCACAGCTGGCTGAGTTTGTTTCAGTACATGCGCGCAATCCACCCATACAGCCTGTATTGAGGTGTCTGATGTCGTCGAGTCTACTCACATACCTATAAGGTAGGTAAAATTCGGTGACTGAATGAAGTATTGTCTATTAAGGCGTTCTGTGATATAGAGGTATGTTGGCACTATGGTTGAGTAATCTGAAGACAGTAAACTTAAACATACTGAGAGTATGTTTAAGCGTGTCAAAAGGTACTGTCTTTAGATTACTCAACCATAGTGAGACAAGTGATGGAAGATGAATACCCTACAGGTATGTGGAAGATATATGGTGTCCTTGATTTCATTGGATTTTGAAAACACTACCGGTGAGACTATGTCTTTATGTAAAGTTTCCCAACGACATGATTATTTTTATGTTTTCGCTAAAAAACAAACTATTTTGTAAACGTTCAAAAAGAAATTCACACATCATCCATTCAATGAATAATAAATCGTGTGAGGCGATCGACGCAGGTTTGTCAGGGATGGAAATCAAGATTGATCAGGCTTCATTCATGAAATATAAGAGTAACACAATATTTTGTGCGAAAATTTCCAAACATGAAAATAACGTCGTATTAAGTAACATTGTGAACAGGGGCAATCTCACTAAAATCAGATCTTCTACCGCTAGACAAAGATCTGAGGACATCCCATTAGGGGTCACGTCAGAACGACCTTTTACCCGACCAATCAGAGCGTCGCTTACCAGATCATGAAAGTGACAGTCGGAATGTGATTTCTTATCATGCAACCCCGAAAACCTTTTACACGGGGTATTCTGAACGATAGTTACGGGGTTAACGACTGAATCCATACAATCTAGACCATCTATTAGCCATTCAAGAATGTTCATTTCTTCAGGTTTCAAATTATTAATCGAGAATTTGTCAAAAAATGTTTCGAAGCGTAGTCGCCAATTTGAAATTAGTGCCGTAAAGCACGAGTAAGCTACCTTCTGATTGGCTAATGTCGACTTCTCGTCAGTCATTCCATTGGTCGATCAAAGTTCGCACAAGGTCGGTCTGACATGACCCGTAATGGGATGTCCTCAGATCTTTGTTTAGCCGTAGCGAGAACTAAGATCTGATTTTAATGAGATTGGAACAGGTGTCACAAAGCAGTAGCTTGTGTTGATAGCTGCCTGTGTCCTCATTGTCCCACGAGCAAAAACTGTTCGCACGGCTGCACTCATTCAGTTACGGGAATAAATACACAGTCATACCTATCTATATATCTATTGCATAACATATTGGCACACGAAGTGTGGAAAATTCATTTTGTTTTATCTAAATAAGATTTACACACGACTGCGGGATACACAGGTGTCTCTGCCATATCGCATATGTTCATGACCACTGCCCAACCATCACTCGAGTAGTCATGATCCGGTAAAGCGTGATAGCTATAACAACTTGTGCTGTCACTTCTTGGTCCGATTTTTATTAGAATACACCCATGGCTCTCTCTCTCTCTCTCTCTCTCTCTCTCTCTCTCTCTCTCTCTCTCTCTCTCTCTTGTTCGTGGGCTTTAGCCTTTACACCCCCACGAAATTTTGTAACATTGTGGCAGCGGGAACGTTTGATTAAATCTACTCGTAGTTTGTTATCTAATATTGTCTCAAGTAATCGTTCATAGAACTATTATTGTCTTATGCGTTTGAATGTATTCAATGCTCACGGTATGATGAATTCCGACGACTGTCTAGACGTGTCTGTTTCGATTCATTGTGAATGGCTATTGAACTGAACATGCTAAACTCTGAATGATAGACTCTGAACAGGATAGTATTTCTTTCTGCACATATTCTACAAACAGAACCTGTATTTTCTGCACATTACTTTCATTGCTGTTGGAAAGTGAGACATGACGTAGAAAGAACGGCATTTCTTTCAGGACATATTGCCTCTATGTCAATAAAGAGTAATCACTGTTCTGAGTCTAACCGCCTGAACAATTGAAGTTAGGCGATGATCCTATTAAGAACTGGACTATGTGGAATCACGTTTGGGGACATTGTTGTATCATTACGAACAAAAATAATGCAACTTGCTCCAAGGCTTGTATGAGGTCATATCTAATTTCTAATGTGGGACCTGAAGGATTGCAAATCTACAAAGGATGTGACCCCTCTGAAGATGACTCTGCAAACGTTATTATGCAGAAGAGGGACACTCATATTCTCGGGGGAAGTAATGAGACATTTGAGCGCCACAAATTCAATACGACAACACAGCAACCTTATGAGAAAATTGATGGTTATGTAACAGAAGAAAAGCAACTTGTGAAATCCTGATTCGCGTATAAGGGACAGAATAGTGTTTGGCATTTATGATGCCGATACTCGCAAGCGACTACTGCAAGAACGGAAACTCACACGAGTGAAGTCATGAGAATACTGCACCATGGCTCAAAGTTAAATTGGGAAACATATATACATGCGGAAATGAAGTAAGATAATACACAGTAATATGCGTCCACACCTCACGGAAACAGACAGGAGCAAGTGACTGAAATTATGTGACATACGTAAACATCCATTTCGCATAGGACTGATACCTGAGTTAAAAGTTTGCAAAAAATGTAGACAGATGAATCATTTTGAAAAGTTGTCCATGCATGTCCAAGAAAATCTATTCCTGGAGTACAAGAAGAGTACATCCAAGAGAATCGTCATTCGACATGAAAAGAGAACGATGATGTACTATCTCTCACTGACCTGCTGTGACAGAAACCTTAAAGAGATACAAATGTCTCTATAAAATTGATCATGTTGACTTTCTCGGACATCATATCACATCAAATTGTCTGAAAGAAATTTTGTCTGAAAGTAAGAAAGCTGTAGCCATTCTTGAGATGAATGTGATGGAGCCGATGACGTCATAATGACGTCAAGTGGAAATGGTCTGAGGAACCAGAATGCGCGCGCTATGTCGGAACTTAAGCGTTTGGTGGCTAAGGCACCCGTCCTGATCTTCTAGGATCCTAGTAAACAACTTGAAATTGAATGTGATGCTTGAAACAAGGGACTAGGTGCATGTCTCATGCTTGGCATCTGCGAGTCAGCCGGGAGCGTCTTGAGGATTTGCGGAACGCAACAAAGGGGGATGAAGCAATGAATACTCTCATATCCGTTCTTCTGAGTGGATGGCAGGAAACAAAGAAAGACACACCTGAAGTACTTCTACAGAAATGAATTTTCCTTGCATGATGGCCTTGTTTTCAAAGGTGAGCGAATCCTGGTACCTGGTTGGTTGGTTGGTTGGTTTCGTGTTTAACGCAGCACTCAGCAATATACTACATCTACATGACGGCGGTCTGTAAAAAAATCGAGTCTGGACCAGACAATCCAGTTGAAGCCATAACTGAGATGAGCAGCCCTACAGATGTTGATGCTATTCGTAGATTGCAAGCCATACCAAAGGTCTCTGATGCGATGGAGCCGATGACGTCAAGTGGAAATGGTCTCAGTAGCAAAAATCCGCTATGTCGGAAATCAAGCGTTTGGTGGCTCAGACACCTATCCTGATCTACTAGGATCCTAGTAAACAACTTGAAATTAAATGTGATGCTTGAAACAAGGGACTAGGTGCATGTCTCATACTGGGCATCTGAGAGTCAGTCGGGAGCGTCTTGAGGAGTTGCGAGGATGAAGCAATAAATACTGTCATATCCATTCTTCTGAGTGTATGGCCAGAAACAGAGAAATAAATACCCATACTTCTCCTACAAAAATGAACTTACTGTGCAAGATGGCCTGGTTTTCAAAATGGGGGGGAATCGTGGTACCTGTAAATATGCGACACGAGAACACCCTCATTCGTCTCATCTGGGGAAAGAAAGCATGCTTAGAGAAGGGCCTGGGATATCTGTAATTCCAAGCAAACTTTTGTCGGACAACAGTCCTCAGTTTGCTGCTGAGAAGTTCACAAGCTTTACCAGAAGTTTGGACTTTGAGCACAACATGTTGTTGCCACCGCAGCCCACTGCTAATGGGAAAGCAGAAATTTATTTGCTCGGCTCATTTTATTTGCTCATCTGTCAGGATATATTCGAGTTCACCTTGTGTACATTCCATTCATACAGTGACTGACACATTATCTGTGTATAAAGTGGAGACGTCTTTCTTGAAACGTATACTATTTCTCTCTTTTTTCAACTAAGCAAGATGTTTCATGTGAATATTAAACCTAATGGGTATGTATAAAAGGAAATTTAAAATTCTGATAAAACCTTTCCAACTAGGTTTGCCTTCACTGTGAACACGTTTATGTTACGTCATGCAACGAACAGCACATACCCCATAAATCATAAGTCTATTATTGTTTTGTTTTGCAGAATACTAGACACATTTGAAATAGAAACAAATGTGATCTGAAGTCCACTGAAAAAGCAATATGAGAAATGTTGGTTTTCCTCATTGATGACATCTATGTGAATTTGGTAATAAGATATTAAGGAGAGAAGTAGGCATCCCATTAACCTTTGGCGACCAAAAATGGCTGCCAAAAATAAATCTTATTTCCAGATAACAAGGATTAGTAACTGGTGGATTATACAATGGTGGATGAGCCCACTTCAGTCATGAATTATAGTCTGAATAACTGGTTCTAAACAAGAACAACTATTTCAGTGACCCAGTGTCCGTCATCCATCATTCGCATGATATCGGGATGATACCTTTATACAGTTATTATATCTCCAAAAACGTACACTATGAATCTGCTATACGTCATCTCTTGATAGTCAATAACACAATGTCAAAGTGTGAAAACAATTAAGACAGAATCATGCCGAGGATTCTTTTCGTGTCAAGAGAAGAGGTCCAAGACTCAAGCACAGTTCTTAAGATGCAGGCTCTGTAACCAACATCCTTGATGTGGTTGTCAGATTGCTGTTCTCCCGAGCTCTCTTCGTCTGTCTAACTGGGGATGACAGACGCTACGCCGATCCGCCTGTTGATCTCAGTATCCTTGGACATATTGCTTGTGATGGGGGTGTTGAACATGCACGTTGATCGAGATCGCAGAAGGAAGATTGATGACATGGTTCATTAAATTTGTCTTCTCTTGTCTTTGTCTTTGTTGAGTGGGTTACCAGAGCAAGGTCATATTTGCAAAGCATGTCTCCGATGAGGGCTTCACATAGTTCGGTTTTTGCCGTCAGACGAACAAGATTGATCGCCTTCCCATCCAATCGTCGTTGGTGGAGGGTTCAAAATTTCAAACACGGCAGGGTAAAAAGTACACCAACCTGCTTTACTCCACTACAGATGTTGAACGATGAGCCACCAAACTTCAGGTGACTCTCATGTCAGTGTGAAGAAACACAACTTGAAGGTTGAAGGCTTTTGTGAGGTCGATGAATACATTGACTGCTTCTGTTCTCTGCACTTTCCCTGTATCGATTGAGAAGATCATGTTGGTCGTGGATCCACACTATCAGTGAATTTCTGTAGTTTATTCAGGACCACTCAAGTGACGAACCATCCTGTGATGCATCCATCACCCTTGTACAAGATAACGATGTGGCAGCCTGTCATGTCCTACTGCACCCCTCCCTCTTCCAAACACTGACACAGAAGTTCCTACAGGTGGATCAGCAGGAGACCCTTTCTGCAGTTTCGGCCTCTGGAGCGATCCCATTCATTCCGAAAGCTAACCGAATGGCCTTCCTTAGCTATATAGCTTCCATTACAGAGTCAGAGACATTGCATTCCCTGGATTAGAGTTAAGATATATTCAACCTATCTCTCCTTCTGCTTGCCTCTGTCACTGATTGTTTGCCCTTGCAAATTTCAGGGGCACCATTCTGCTCTGAGTTGGACAGATTCCTTTCATAATGCCATTTGTGTACACCTTAGACGCCTTTGCGGACATGCAGCAAGTATTATTGCTGTTTTCTGTAATTTGTTTCCGTCTGTTCTGTCTTCTGTTTGGCCTAGTGAATAAACATGAATAAAGCGGTGTGGAGAGTTTCTTTCAGTTTCTCCCTACCTTTGCTTGGCATCTTATTGAAGAAATTCTGTAACCAGATATAACACATGGCACCAGTAACGGAATCCAATCTGTGTGGGTGTGAGGTCTTACTGACACCAATGTGAGTCTCTCCCTCTTACTCAGTGTGGTGCATCGTCTTTAGCTGGCATCTGATCCTGCAGCAGACCATGGAATGGTCTGTGTCGCAGTTGGCCCTGAGGTACACAGATGTAGCGTCCGTATGCAACTTTGGTTGCGTACTCTGCAGGGAATTCAGAATGATTACTGGAATGCAAACAGATCCACTGGTCGGGGGAACAAATATAAATTTGAGCAGATACTGGTTCCCTTGATAAGTGCCATATAATAATATTAATAATAATAAGAAGAAGAAGAAGAAGAAGAAGAATTCTTTTGGTGTTGTTGATTGGACGAGACAAGAAATTCACGGTATTGACACCCTCACATGAAGAATCATGGCCGACAATAGATCCCACCACCCTCGCTCTTCCCTCAATCGCTTATATTTACCAATTATGATGAGGGGGGCGTGGTTTGATTAACGTTGGGTCTCTTCATGATAGAATTGTTTTGTGCACTTTTTTTCACATTTATTTGTCTGATGATCCTCTTGTAAAGCATGTCAAGACTCAAGATGAAAACAAGGCATTCCACAGTTTTAGTTAACGAGCCTAGGATGTGGTACATAATCTCAATGTCGATGTTGATTTTGTTGATGGTTCTGTACTGCTGGACTGTACAGAAATGACTGTCAACCAAATAAATCGCCACATCAAATCGGCCCCGACTCAGTTTTTCAAGGAGAGGCTATCTGAACGACCACTGCATCGAGTTTATGTTCAGCGTGTTGAGAAGGTCAGCAACCCTGTCGAGTCCTTCGCTTTGATGAGGTCGGCAGGCCTGAAAAGTGAAACAGAAGCCTTTCTGTTTGCTGCTAAGCACCAGTCACTTCCCACTCGAAACCGTCAATGTGTGATTTTGCATCAAAATGTAAATATGAAATGTAGATTATGTAATGAACTTAATGAGACTGTCCAACACATTGTCAGTGGATGCCAAGCTTTGGCACAAACACAGTATCTTAAGCAACATGATGGAGTGACTCGATTATTTTATTACCGTCTTCGCCATGCTTGTGGTTTTGACACAGAGGTCCATCCATCGTACAACCCGGAATATGCAGAGGACGTCATGGAAAATGATAAACGCAAAATTCTTTGGAATATACAGACGTATCCAGGCCAATCTTGATAAATCCAATGAAACCATTAATTTTATAGAATCTTCTGTCCCTTTTGACACCAATATGATTGACAGGATTGAGGAAAATATGCGAACCTCGCTTTCGAAATGTCATGCTTGCATCCAAAGTACCGAGTTGTCCGAATCCCCATTGTTCTTGGTGCCTTAGGTGTGGTACCTTCCAATCTGTTGACTGACATGGTAGAGTCATTGCTGCAAGGAATACAGCCCTTCTGCCAATCTGGGTAATGAAGAAAGCTGCCATTGTTGGGGAAAACAAGTCAAGTTCTTGACTGGGTTTGACTAGAAACCACATCCTGGGAGAAGTCCCATTCGCTGGTAGTTCATATTGGCAATCATACGCAAATCCGCACATTGCATACAATGCTTACTCCATTTGTGTTAGTGCCATGAGTGCAAACTCCGGCTTTAGGCCCGAGGATACATGGAACGCACAGTGATGTAGCAAATTATGCATTTCACAATCTTAGAGAATGGTACCCTCACACATTCTGTTTGCTTTAAATGGTTACTATAATAATCCACGATTGAGCACATGTGATGTACAAGGGTCAACATTTATCCACAATTCTATAACTATATTTAAATCGTTAATTGTGTTACTCTCCTGGTGATGCGGTATGTTCAAAAGCTCAAACATTTATCTGTAAACCATTATGAAAATTATTTTCTTTACCATCTGGTAAATCATTGTTTACGACAGCAGCCAATCTACAACCCCCCCCCCCCCCCCCCCCCAAAAAAAAAGAAATTGTGCAAATAAGAAATATTTAAATCAGGAACACAGGCAGCTCATATATAAAAAGTGCACAGGACAGTCGTCATTGGGAGAATAGCACATACAGATGATACTTCGCTGAGAAACTCACGGTTATTGTGACTTATTTTTGGTGGTTTTTTTTGTTACAGTACTAGTGTGGATACAACCATGGTTCATAAACAATGGCGCAATCAGATGGATTACATCATCACTCTTTTGGGATTTGGTATGGGGGCGGGAGCATTCATCAAGTTCCCTTTCTACTGCATGCGCAATGGAGGAGGTAGGCCTCATGATACTTTGACATCTATTTCTCAAAACGAATAAATCATATGAACAATTACACAAATCTACATATTTTTGGCATATGTCTACACCTATTAATATTGTAAGACCTGTATGTAGTTCGTTGTTTTTTTATTATGGTGAAAAATAAATGTAGGAAAGTACAACTTCCAATACTGCTTGTTTAATCAAGTGCATGACGCCGAGAGGATACGGGAGCAGAATTTGTCCAGTTCCATAATTGTGGTAAGAACTGTTTCATGGGTACACGATGGATACAACCAGTGATCTAACAGATTGAGTCACATTATCAATGCAGCGAGAATCTTTCTACAAGCAGTCAATAGCTTGGCCTTTAGCGATTGGACGACATATAGAATCCATTTTGCTCGAACGAAAAAAAAAGGCGGACTACGTAAAAAATTGTGAACTTCAGCAGTGTGGTATCTTATAATATATATCTCCGGAAAAAAATTACTTTGAGATTAAGACAGGTAGCCATGTTTATTTTCATTCTTCATTAACGATCCCACGAATGTGACCTACAAAATCCAGATATGATACAGATTTGTGCCATATGTTTATTGGTCTGCCTTTTGTTGCTAGAAACCCAAGATACATGTAGTCACATGCTATCCAGGTTAGCATTGATCTTCAGCAATCCATGCATGCTCAAAGAGGTGACTAAGGGCCAGACTTGCGTAGATCGACATTCGTCATGTCAATCTCTAAGTTGTCTGGTCCAGACTTGATTATGTAAGGACCGCCGTCATAAAGCTCGATTATTGCTGAGTGAGGCTTAAAATAGGGCCGAGGGCATGTGATTTTATGGTATCCAAACAGGATGTTAGTCATAAAAAGCTTGACATTATAGTTATTTTAACTATTCACAATGTCAAGATCAAAGGTCGGTTCACACATTCAACAATGCGTGCAATGGCATGTTTGTAGGATTAACACAAATAAGAACACTAGTATAGTTCCTCGTGACAGCTGCCTGACAAGTAGATGCTTTTATCATATAATTGGTAGGTTTTTCGGCAGGATGAAGCCAACGGATAAAAACGATATCCGTTGGGGTAATATGCGGATAGAGATGCAAATACCAAAGGTCAAGTAAGGACTACTTTCACTGTTATAAACAAACATGGCGTCGCCCTCGTCATTCGGCGATCAAGTCAGAATTAACCATCGGGAATCTGGATAAACTACAGTGATAATTGCTATCATTATCAGAAGAACAGTCTAATATACTGAAAATTAGTGTCTAACTGTAACGTAGCTAAGGCATTTTATAAGTTTTGGCAACTTTGGAGATATAAATTTCAAAACAATTTTGCGAGGGCACGAGGCCTAGCCAAGCAGGATCAGTAGCCATATCTGTGCATGCAGACCTCTGCGGCTTGACACAATAAAAAAAGTTGGATTTGGCCGAAAAATGTTTGAATTGTTACCTAGTTTCGTTTTGTCGCTGGGCAGTTACTCTTGCGGACAGACCGATGGATTGCAGCGAAAGGCAATTAAAAACAACTGTTGTTTTGCGTATATGTTGCTTCGCCACTGTATAAGAAACAGATTTCAGTTGGAACTATATTGGCTCCTGTCACTGTCCGACTGACACATCACTTACACTGTGACGTGATAAATATTAATGCGCGCATTCCAGGAAAACGCGCAATGTTGCGGTAAATTTTGTGAGAGAGGGAAAGCGATTTTAAAGCACAGAATTAAAGAATGACATTATATCATAAAGAGGTTATCACGCTTGTGTGTTTGGGGATGGTAAATATCCTATATTAGGAATAAACACTATGTATTTAGCTCGCCAAATAAATACAATGTTTATTCCTAATGCAGGACATTTACCTACCACCCCCAAACACTCGCGTGATAACCTCTATAGCACCACAAGATAGAGTTTACTGTAGATGGACACTGCAACCAAATCTACGTATCACCCAATCTTAAACAATGGTCAAGCACCGATGCGCCACAAGCTAATCGCCATGCCCCCAAATAGTTTTGTTTTGGAATCGATTACGGAGCCTGGGTTTTCAGCACTTTCTCTTGGACATATACAAATTGTCTACGAATGTTATAAATTTCTTCCTCTCTGGGTTTGACTTAATGTATCTTCTTGTATAAAAAAATGATATCGGTAAAAAAAATTGTAATCAATGTTTTCACTATACTGGCCCTTCAACTGAACGGTCCTGCTTGTGGATATGTAATAATCATAACATTAAATGTCTAATAAATTCAGTTATAAGACAATACAGGCAATAATATATTCAGAATAAAATATGTCCAGGTATCATATGTTGTCGATTAGATGACACTGACAGGTGCCTCTGGTGGGACAGGAAATGCTTTCCTTTTCGCGAACATCTGGTATCATCAATATTTGATAATGATTCATATGGTATGGTTGTAAACATTTAGCGCAGATTTCTTATGATTGTGGAAAAGGGTTTTGTCGTGTTTATGCACTTAAAACGTGTGAAATACTGCATGAGTTGTCAAAGATCCTGTTTCTTTCTGGTCGAGAAAGCGGGAGTCCTGTGGTTGTCTTGAATTAGAAATGTATTCTAACATAGTCCCGAATGCACATGCTTTGGTACTACACAGGGGCAAATATTGGTGGTGTATGCCATTTAATTATATTTCCACGCGATCTAAACATGCAATGTCAATCTTTGAAATAACGAGGTATTTCTGTTTGTTGACAAGGAGCGTTCCTGATACTCTTCATGTTCTTCACAATAATTGGAGCCATCCCCTGTGTGTTTCTGGAAATGACCATCGGACAGTTCTCTCAGAGTGGACCTATTAAAGTATGGAATATCTGTCCTGCTTTCAAAGGTAACAACTGAAATATATCGAAGTGGCGATAGGCAAATATGCCCCAGTTTTAATTGGGAAGCTAAGTCTAGTTTAAAGAGAGTAACACTGCTTTGTTTCAAGCAGCCAACTTTATCTAGCCAGTAGGGACTCCTCACCAAGTTTCGAAGGAACAATATGTATCTAGTTGCAACAAAAGGGAAAATTTCCGTCGTTTCAACACGTAAAGTGTTGGTGTGCATGAGTTGACCAGTCGTCAATGGTGCCACAATTGAGTTGCATCCATTAGGTATGGCAGGATCCAGTGAACAGGGATTTCAATCCCAGATAAACCCTGATTATTTGATTATGATCCGTGCTTGATCACCACCATACACTTGGTCGTGTGTTGCAGTGGAAAAGTAAACGTCTAATACATCTATCAGTTCAGGGTGACTCACAGTAGAATAAGAGACCATATGTGATAACATGACGTTGACGCAGTTACCTTCTCGATTCTTTTGTTTCAATACAGAAGACGTTTCATAAATCAGTATAACACGCCCACATACCGATCCTTATATTTACTACAATTGCAGGTATAGGTATTGGAAGTGTTGTTGTTACGTGGCTATTCACTAGCTACGACAACATCAGCTTCGCGTGGTACATGTACTACCTCTACCACTCCTTCTCCCCTAACCTGCCCTGGAACCACTGCGACAACGCATGGAACACCCCGGCATGCATACACAAGAACGCGTCAGTTTTGTGTAATGATACAACGTCTAATACAACCGACACTGGATTCTCCATTAACGGAACAGCCCGCGGGATGACAGCTGCCGAAGAATTCTGGACGTATGTTTACAAATTCTTAAATATATACAAATTGTTGTTTATTATGCCTACTGTAGTATTCATTAAAACACTGTTTTGCTCTAAAGAAAATACCTTGCATGTGCCTTCTTATGCTCCACAACAAAATATGACTCAGCATTTTTTTTTTTCTTTTCCAATTTATGCCTTTATCTTAGTTTAAATAACATAGTACGTGATGATGCTCATTGGTCTGTCAGGACCAAACCTATGCTCGTAGGTCGCACCTGATTATAATTCTTAACTGAACCTGTGTTTTACGTCGAAAACCTCCATATCTGCAGGCATTCCTTCCACATCAAGCTGACACGGCATCAAATAACTCAAATGGTGTCTGCTACATCACATCCAATTCGATCACTCTCTTCCCAAAATATAGGCTGTAGACACAAGGATGTTCCCTTCTCCAGATTCCAGATGCTTGGACAAAGTGATGGCCTGGACAATCTTGGAGGTCTAAGATGGCATCTTGTTGGATGCCTGGGCATCACCACACTGCTCCTATTTGTTTGGATATTTCAAGGAATACAAGTATCAGGGAAGGTGATATGCAAAAGTCAATGTATACGTTAGATTCACAAGTCAGAGACCACGACTGCAAATGTAGATAGAATAAACTATGTGGACATTATGTTTCTCTGATATATTTTCTACTCGTTTTCATCCTGCAATCTCTCAAATTGAACCAATGAGATCACGAGCCATTATACAGTTTGATTTAGATGACCTAGTCGGTACTTATTCAGTCACTCACTGACTTAATATTTTCTACCAGCTCGTCTACATCACCGTAGGTGTCCCCTACATCCTCATCTTCGTCTTCCTTATCCGGGGCTGTCTACTTCCGGGGTCAGCAGGAGGAATATACTACTACGTCTATCCAAAGTTTGACAAGCTTACAGACCCGAAGGTGAGCCTAAATCTGTTTACTTGCACGATTACAGTTTTGTCAAACAGTATTTGTATTGCCGTCGTAATTATGATATCGACCATATTTACATTGTTATTTTGTTTCTATCACGTTAAGACGTAACTCTAGATGGTTGGTTTTCATATGCTGACGGGATGGGGAATCATTAAATAATGAGATCACTTGGGTCGATCACTCACATAGGTACAAAGTCTATTTCTGAAAGTGTATAAAAAGCGGCATTTTACCCAACTCATGCATAGATTAATGAAATCAAACACTAAGTTATACTTTATGCTGCTGATTAGAATCTATAACACGGCACGTTTCTATGTTGCAGGTGTGGATTCATTCATGTCGCTACGCCCTGTTTTCATTGGGTATAGCCATGGGGTGCTTAATCACTATGTCTGGACACAACAAAAAGGAGTCCAACTGCTTCAGGTATATTCTTTGTCAATTAATTTTCACAAAAATGTTTCAGTAGTTGTATCAATAAATGATAAGACAATTTGTGAAATTATGATTATCTCATCTACCATAACAAAATTACACACGTTTAGATAATGGCAGAAGCTGTTTAGAGTAGCTTGTCCACTTCTAATGAGGAAACACCGATAATAGCGTTTAGTATATTATGTCGCTGCAAACGTTGTCATTTGCATTAATGTATTTATTTGCATATTTGAGATGCATTGGACGTGTGTACCAAGCAACTTCATAAGCAGTCACTGACCACTTACCATTGTATTCCCTAACGAGAACTGAAAACTGTTGTGAGGTCACTCCATCCACAAAATGTGGAATTATCGGAGATACTATGAATATTGTAGTATATGCAATTTAAAACCTCTTTTTGACCAATCAAACTCGAGTGTTTTCCAAAGGTAGAATTAGATTTTAACCAACTTGTAAGGACGACCTCACTTAACGAAACTAATGATTGGCCCGTTAGTCACTAAAATGCACATCTGCAAATATCTTTAAAAAACTTTACATCCAATATTTCAACCACTATTATTGTACCAGGATATTGTTCTTGTATTGTTTCTTCAAGGGATGCAATATTAATTTGCCTGATGGATTCACTCTCCACTGTTTTCTTCGGCTTTGCTTTCTTCTCCATTGTTGGTCACGTGGCCTTCCGACGTGGAGTAACTGTTGAAGCGTTTCAATCATCTGGTAAGTAACCTAGTGATACATCAAACAAATCATATTTATTGCTGATAAATGTAGGGTCACAGGTGGCTTATTTGTCTAAGTCTCTGCAATTAACGTGCCCAGCGTTGTGATTACTATCAAAGTTTACCAGCACCATCCCTGTGCTCGTGGGTTTCACAACAGTGGTAACGTATGATATAAATGAAATACTTTTCAATGAGGCGCAAAACTCTCAGAATGAGTTAGGTGGTAATTGTAAAAATTCGTCCTGATAGTCACCCTTTGGTCAATACCTCCCAGCTAACACGAAAATGTTATAAAAAACATCGTTAAAACATTTTACGAAACGTTCCGGAAATGTTTAAAAAAATGTTTTTTTCACATGATTATGTATGGTTCCAGAAACGATTAAGAAACCTTTCCCGAAAAAATATTAGTTATAACGTTTCAAAAATGTTTTTGTAAAATATTGCAGAAATGCTTTTGAAAACGTTGTATTCACATGAATTTGTATGGTTCCAGAAACGTTTAAGGAACGTTTTCCGTGGTTATAACGTTTCCAAAATGTTTTGAAAACGAACCAGGGTGTTGGAAAAGCTCAGCGTTTTGCTGCCAATGTTCAAAAGGTACAACACCCACCTACTGTTAACAAGATACAAATGCTTAGGACAAATCGTCTCAGACTGTACACCCTTCAGGCATGTACTGCATGTACTGGAAACCCATTTGTCCAGAAGAGCTCCATGCTGTGGCTATTCTCGGTCAAAGATATTTTTTTCCCAAAAAAATTCAACATTGCTGTTTTCATGGGTACATATTAAGGACGAAAAATATGTATCAAAAACTGAAAATTTAAACTATGCCGCCCATGGGCCTGACCATATTCATACAGGCTGATATGGGTTATAAATACTGAAGTGTCCATTTGCAAATGTCCTGTGTAAATAACCTCTCTCTCTCTCTATCTATCCTTTCTTTTTCTTTCTTTGTTGAAACGAGGAGTTATTTTTTCCTATGAGTCTTCTGATTTCGCAGCTTAATTTTCCACCTTTCACATTATACACATTATGTATATATTGTGTTTATATTGTATATATAGTGTCTCATAAGCCAATGTCTGGCTGGACGCACTCATACCCCTGTTGTCCCATTTATACACAACATTTTAAAATTGTTTTCGAAACGTTTGTGTGATATCAGTTTTTACAAACGTTTTAAGAACATGTTAAAAACATTTATTTTTGTGATATATTTTCAAGAACGTTTTAAGACATTTTAATGACTTGTCATGAAAAATAATTAATGTGAGAGAATGCGTCTTTTACCATAGATCTATATTTATTCACTTCTCAACGGTGTCTCTCACGCCTCACAAGAGCCCTTGAAGGTAGCAGAAGTATCGTAAGTCCCCATGGTACCTAGTATGGTGACCTACCTTTTGTTATTGGTGATCTGTAGTGTACCGTTATGAATTGTTCAAATCATATGATGATACGCTAGCTTTATATCTTCATCTGTGATAGTCTAGTGCTTTTTACTGTCCTTTATCGACAGATTTAAATGTCTATATTTATGTATTGTTAATGTACAACATACTTTAGTCACGATATGGCTGAAATAATGCCGATGTGCCTTTAAATCTTAACTCACTCACGACCCACAAAATATGCGCGACACTATCTTTGATCAGCAAGAAATAAATCATGTGAAGTTTTGTCTTACTCATGTCTGCTATATTTTCTTTAGACATTTAGTCTACAGATTAAACAAGAACTGTTGTGAAAATATTCTATTACCGCATTAAAAATCCACAGCATTATGAAAACGGATTGTTCAACTTTATGCTGTTTGGGCCGTATTCGGTACTCACTGTAATACATGTATATGGCGATAACATTTCATGAAAGTATGTTCTCGCATAACATTTCTGCAATGTGTTGAAAACATTGTAATAACATGTTATGAAACAGTATTGCCTATATTACAGCATGGTGTTCTTGAATAACATTCTAAAAACCTTTTAATAACATTTCATGAAATAGTTTCTGGCATAAAAGTTCTGTGTTGAAAACATTGTAATAACATGTTTTGAAAGAGTTTGGTTTGGCATGATGTTCGTGAAAAACATTTTGAAAACATTTCCATAACATTTTGAATAGTTGTAAAACCTTTCTAAAACGTTAATAAAATGTTTTGACGAAAATGATTATCGAAACACTACAATGGAACCCTTCACAAATGTTGAGTGTTACCTGGGCTGTGATCTTTGGATAGATGGTACACAAGGTCCTATCCCACTACGCAACGTAACTCGATTCCACAACGTTCGGTGCTTCAGTGAGAAAAACCAGCATTCCTATGCTATCAACACATTCTTCCTGTTATATGTTCTTTAGTTTTCACAAATGTACTATTCATTTCACGACAAAGGCCTGTTTTCATGAAATAGAGCATTGTGCGGAAGAAAAACAAGAGCAGCCGCGTGCAGTTAGACGTATCACCATTAAAACATACTTGTGAATGTTTTGCGGCAAACGCAAAATGATCCGGACTTGCGCAGTAATGTACCTTATCTGGATATTGTCAAACTCCTTCACATGGAGAGCGGGCTATTTTCACAAAAGAGAATGTACGTTTGTTTGGCAACCCACTGTTAAACCGATGCATGATAATGTATATGAGCTGTAGTTAAGACAGCTTTCTGAAGGATATTGCATTGCATTTGAGCAACGACAGTTTACTATATTCGCATCAAAGGAACACAAGAACACAGATCTATTTCTACAACACACACACACACACACACACACACACACACACACACACACACACACACACGTACATATAACCTTTGCTTTTCTTCTTTTGTTTCAGGGTTTGACCTCATCTTCATTGTCTATCCTGAGGTCATTTCTACTCTCCCTCTGGCACAGCTATGGTCTGTGCTGACCTTTTTGACCTTGATGTTGTTAAATATCGATTCTATGGTAATGGTGAATGAAGCTCAAATTCTCTCAGAAACAATAAATAAATTATCATCATGAACCTATATATTTGTTTGAATGTAGAATTAATTCAATAACGTAAATTATAGCAAAATTATTATCAAAGCAAGATGATGTGAATGAATGCCCCAGGTGCTACATGCTTCAGAACTGTTATGTATTTTACATGCGCTTTTAGTTTGTTTTATTTCGACAATTTGCTCATTTTGTTCTAGATGCACAACACACCTATGAAAAGGACCACTTTGACTTTTCCTCACATATATTACGCTGAGAAACTGTGCTTGAAACTAAGATGCGTTAATTTCTCCGATACGAAAGTAGCCTTAACTGTTGCAACATGTCCACCTGTGCAGGTTCCGTGTGTGGAAGTAATCGTCGCTGCCTTGGAAGATATGTTCCCCAAGTTGATGAAACAACGCTGGCTCACCATCGGTGCTGTGCTCCTCAGTCTCTTCCTGTTTGGTCTCATATATATTTCACAGGTAACGGTGAACACAATTGACTGCTCTGGCTGATATTGCATGCGCTAATGTGCTAAAGTGAATATTCTCGTTTGGTCTGATATATTTTTTACAGGTACAGTAGAAGCGAACATGTCGTATGTTTGTCAGCATGTCCATCAACACATGGACAAAGTCAGAGAGAGTTGGATATTTTACGTGTTCTTTCCGACGTTATGCTTATTTCGCACAGAGAGTCAGGGTCAGGTTTACATTTAAATACCTAAAAACAAATCCATACAATTTCTTCGAGTTTGGTCTGAGATACTATAAATCTTGAACTCGAGCGTGAATAAAAGAGTAACATTGAGTGGTCTCAGCTCGCATAAATGAAACTTTGCATTTATGTCTCCAAAAAGATTATGAACAATAAGACGGCCTCATGGCACACTTTTGATACCGGAAATACCAACTGGAATATAAACATAAACACGGTTTATTGAGCAGCAGTTACATGACAAGTATGTAGCAATGTCATTCAAAGAATAGGAATTACACAACAGGCATTCACTGAGTTATCACTGCTGAGGTCAAGAGTTCTACCCACTCGTGTCAGACTAGACATAATTGACCACTCCAGTAATCTGAAATATACGCCATATATAACTAAAGAAGAATACCAAACTAGCTGCGAGTCAATAATTGAGTGTGACAGCATAATATTGACCAATTGTTCAACCTCATTTCACTTTGCCTCGCCTTGAAAACAGATAAGACATAGAAATGACTTCATCGTTATGAAAGCAATTCACTGTAGTTAATTTATTATTTTTGTGATGCAATGTTGTCAGTTTGTGACGTCGTATAATAATTTTCAGAACAATGCAACATGTTTGATATCAGGAAGTTACTAAAACCGATTTTTCAACCCTTTTGCATAATCTACACATTTAAGGGTGGGATATTCGTGGTGACGCTGTTTGACTGGTACGCCTACTTCCCATCACTGGCCGTGTTCAGCATCCTTGAGTGCATCGCCGTGGGCTGGTGTTATGGTAAGAAAGCATAAACCTGTGACTTACCACCTTAAAAAAATGTTGTCATAATCAAAACATTTCGTGTTACTTAAATTTACTATTGTGAAATGTATGCGAATACGAGGTTGGTTCTGAGCCTAACAAACAAACCAACAATTGTGAAAGTGATTTTAATTTTATTTTGCAAGATAATCTCCCTTCTATTCAATACACTTCTCGAGTTGGTAGTGAAGCTTTTTAATTCTAGTCTGGAAGAAGTCTTTTGAAGCCACCCTGAAATCCTGAATTGATGTTTCATCACCTGTTACTAATCTCTTGTTCATTTTAACGAAATCCTCTTTAATTATCTCTATATTTTCTCTGGCAATGTCAGCTCTTTTTCCTTTAAGATCAGAATCTAAAACCTTTGGTTCCCAAAGAGCAGATAACTTATTCAGCTGAACATGTTCATGAATAATAGTTTCAGTGGTCCCATGTAAGCCAGCTTAAACCTGTGTCTTTCTCAAGTTCAGCAATGGCAAAACGTCTATCTGGCAGTAAAAGCCTTTATGTCTCCTTGATTGAATCTTCATTGATTCCAGACCTAGGTTCATCTTCAAGGCTTCTACCCCCAGCCTTAAACATAACTGCCCTCTTTTTAACAATGGATTAATTAGGTAGGGCACTTATCCCCATACACGGGTGACATTCGGTCATGAATTTCCTGGGCAGTACTTTTCTCTGACGTCAAAAAATTGATGACTGCTCGTTACTCGTTGTTTTCCATTTCTGTGTCCATTTGGACCCCTATCACATTCAACTGGCTGCCATTAATATACAAACGGTCTCAACAGACCAAATACACTTGCTTTGAACTACTGAAATAATGTACTATAATGACTTGTTCACTTTAGTCAAGTTATTCAGGCTTAGAATTTTTTACCTGTCCTCGTATGTACACTCACAAGCATATGGCGGGTAAAAGTGACATACTGGTCAATTTGCAATGTGTACAATGTGTACACTACGACCAAATGCGTACTTTAAAAAATACATCATATCATTCACCTTTTAAGTATCATTTAAACTTCAGACGAGCTATCAAATAAACAAGTGACAGAATCCGTTCCAAAACCATAAGACATATCTGCTAAAATCAGCATGTACAATGCTATTCCGACTATATCATACACATGAGAATATTAATCACTATCAATCAGTGGCACGCATCACTAACACATGCAAAGGCAAATCAACTGTTCACCAGAAAGAACATGGGAACACATGATACAGGTCGGAATAGGGAATTGCATCGGACATCATTGTTGACACTGATACGTCAGATTTGGAAATGTCCTCGACACGTCTGCCATAAATGTTTTGAAAGACCTTGGATGTTGTAATCTTGACAGTACAAAATTCCTGGAAATCAATTAAGACTTTATATTTGCTTGTGCTATGTGTTCATTACGTTCAAAATAGGTATGCTTGCCAGTATATAGATAAGTGAATTGTAATTCATGTTTACTTCCAGGAACAAAGAAGCTTCAGGAGGACGTCCGTACGATGTGGGGAAAGGCAATACCTCGAGTCATGGTCATAAGTTTCCAGTTTGTGTGTCCTCTATTTCTTATTGTAAGTAATACCTGATTCCTGAAACTTCGATACTGACATACTCCTGAAACATCGTAATGAATCATGCAGTATTGACATTTTAAAACATAAAGAAAGGTGGTCGAGTCGGATAGAACATCATTTCGAAGAATATTTCATAATATCATAACCTGTGAACAATCAATTGTGAGGACAGCCTCGAATAACACAGAGTGTACTCTGTGACCACTTTATTCAAGCCATAAAGCTCAAAGATAGCAAAGATAGAATAGGTCAATTATTCTTATATGAACAAAACATGTCCTCATCACATAATTATCAGTAACAATATTGTACAGTCGAAATAAACAACGCAAAAACAACACTCACTCATCAATTGTTGATTATTCAGAAACGTAATTGAAAGTCAAGTAACTTTGACTCCGATCTTGGAAACGCATTTAACACAGTCTAGATCTTACCATATTTCCAAAGAGGTTGTGGCGATGATTAAGACAGGTTGAATATAAATTTGTTTTCAGATAATCTATGTTCAATTGGCCGTCATGGCAGCAATATAAACTGATACTTAGTCAGCACTAGAAGGTGTTGAACGCTCAATCAACAACATTCTTGTAATCCTGCGGCAAGTAAAACTTTATCAGAAGATAAACCATGTCCACACCTGCGAGAAAAACTAAGCCAATTCTGTTATTTTAGAAGGCTCTTACAACATGCATGAGCTTCTGGTGACAGATTCGGCCATGCTGCCCTTCTCCCTATCGTTATGTTTGTTTGTTTGTTGTGTAATAATTCAGGTATTTGAAGTCAGACGGTAAATAATTCAGACACAATCAGTTATAGACATATTGTGAGTAACGCTCCATGCAATCAACCAATACCGATCCAAGTAACGCCTCTCGTGACGAACAAAGGTAGCTGGACACCAGTTCTAACATATAATCCTATAAGGGTTCGATCCTCATGCATGGTTTACAGTAATTCCCTGACATATACTTACGGGAAGGTACCATGCTGATGGAGATGACCACATCATGCTTTTGTAGTCCAATAGGAAAAGCACAAGGGTACTGTGTGTATGTGTTATGCTCCATCCGTTGTACCAGATGATCTGCTGCTACTCCTTCTACTCCTACCGACCCCCGAAATACGGGGACTACATCTACCCCACCTGGGCAACAGCTGTTGGATGGCTCATATCCTTTTCGTCACTCCTGCCGTTACCGACTGTCTTCATCTGGACGGTTTACAACACTCAAGGGGCAACAATGAAAGAGGTAAACAGAACTCGAATCGAATCTAAATCATATGTTCAGCTTTAAGGACAACGCAGTTGGTGTATACAGCCAGTTGTATAGCTAATGTTTGTTCTGGCCTAAGCTTTGTCAATAAAGGTGACATATTATTAGTCATGGTGTATTTAAATGCCGTATACGGTGTCATATTAGGTTAGCAGAAAGATATTGGGCGTGGCGTCAGAACTCCGCCTAACAAAGACAATTCACGACATGTCCAACTATCTGTGGCCAAACACCGTTGTTCTTTCTTAAGACCTTTGCTCGTATATTCCTATAGATTTTTAAATCTGCAGTTGCTCTTAACCTTGAGCGTCACCCTCGCGCAATATTTTTCTGCTAACCTAATTTGACACCGTACACGGCAACTAAAGTCACCATAACGAACTTAGGATGCCGAAAAGTTCGCACTATGTGGTATCCATATCGCACTACTCGTCTGAGCTGAGTGGCTGAAGTTAAAGGTTAAAGGGAGACTACTCTTTAAATCTTAGAGGCCAAACCTTGTTGACAGTTTTAACTATAACCTTTATCAATAAAGTCACGAACGTGACTTAAAAAAGATTAATGCATATGTCCTTGCACATCAGAATTAATGATACAAAAAGACACAAAAGTGTCGAAAAACGAACTTTTCATGTGAAATATGTGAAGTTGGTGTTGGAAAATCCAAGATGGATATTACTGACGGTATACGGTCTCACATGAGGTCAGTGAGAACCATCTCGGATTTTTACTGACGGTATAAGGGCGCATGTGGGGTACATGTAGTAGTTCTCCACTCTGATTGGTCATTCCCACTTTGAGGCATAATATAACAGGATGTGAGTGAGTGAATGTCAATAATTCCATTTTATCTTTGCTATGTTAAAATTACCTAAATATTTGTCTAGAACATAAAGTTATTTATTGCACAATACATAGGAAGCAAAAAATTAATTTGATCACATGGTCTGCTTTCCTGAAGGATCCTGTGTTTGTTGACTATTAAAATGTGTTTTTGGACTATTTGATCAATATACTTTCATCCCTCATTGACTCATTTCAGAAATTGAAGAAATCTTTACAGCACAATGAAAACTGGATTCGATCACCGCCAGAGGAAGAAAACTCTGAAGTTTTACAACCAATGGTAGAACTTGCGACGAATTCCGCCTAACAAGCAAAGCAAAGCAAAGCAAAGCACGTGGTCCCGTGTAAATGTGACCATTCAATGCATTTGTGGTCAAAGTGTATTGTGTTGTATATTTTTACGGCAGAACAGCAGCAGAAGAACAGTTTCGGTTAATGTAACAGTAACGATACATAAATACGAAATTGACGACAATATTCTTTCAGTTCAATCCGAAAATTACAGATATTGTTTTTAGTTTTGTTTTTTGCATTTAGATCTATACCACACAATAATCAGATTATATTTATAAAACTAAAATTAATTTTAAAAACTTTCAACTACTGTTTAGGAAGGGGCCTAATTTGAAGCATCAGAAGGTGCGTCAATATTCCTTAGCTTGACTACAAAGTATGAATATATCACGTGTATCAACATAACAATGCACACAAGCAACTGATAAATACGTAACGAAACATACTAGATGTTTTGACCAACACTAGGCGTATCTAGATAATATTGTACTTACGATAAACGAAAACTCCAATACATACATATTCCAAGACAACTTTTATTATGGATTGCCTTTTCTTTCACAGACTTTTCACACACAAAACTGAGTTTGATCATTAGATCCACACTTGTCCCATGTATTTTTTGTTCGGCGGATTCGGATACACATTGCGCACAAATGTTTAATTACAATCTGGGATGTCTTTCCCGTTTTGGCCACACCAATCCTTCATCTGCTGCAACGTTTAATATCCGTTTCTTCAATTCCGAGTATATACGACCTCTCCAAACACTTCGTTTATTTAGCTCATTCCAGAAGTTTTGGCAACACTGTTTTCGTATCGACGAATTTCTGCAATATGGTGGCCGCACCATTCCCTAACTGCGGTTACCTGTGCTGTGTCACGCATGGTTGACAAAAGAAGTGTGAACATACATATTCGGCTTCATCTGGAGCCACAATGAAATATCGCTGTGACACTGTATTCATTAATCCCAAGAATCGGCACAGAATTTGTCAACGTTTCTGTTGCACTTGCAAGGGCGGGAAGAGAGGCGTCATCTTGTCGATTCGAGTTGACGGTCGGAATTATATCATCTTGCACTGGCACTTTCTCCACGATGAAGTCACCAATATCATAATCGAAATGACCAAAGGCTCCCTCATGATCATCTCGAACAAGCGTCACATGGAAATGTTTTGTTGCTCATATTGAAGACAAGCGAACTTGCAAAGTTCTTGATAGTTGTCAGCAGCAATCAACTTGGATGCGCTTATGGGGTGTGGTTGCTAGGAGATCGCGTGGTCAGAAAGGGGAAAAACATAAACTTTTAGAAAGTAATAAAAGAAAACCGCACTGCAATCCAAAAGTACCATGTACAGGATGTTTTTTTTAATAATAGTATTCACAATTTTTCTTTTTTTCTAAAAATGCAAATTTATTTATAAATTCATCCAAAGGTCATAACCCTGATCATGTGGTAGGTATTTGGAAGGAATCTTGTGATGACGCCGTGGATGAGGCTGTGTGTATTACCAGGAAGATTGTCGAGGCATTGACATTATGACAGATGCTCGTCATGGATGGAGAAAAAATGCATCTGAGAGAAACATTGATGCTTTGAGCTTCGAGACCCAACATGTGTTCATGCCGAAGTAGTTTACAAGAGAGGATGATCTGTATAGCCAGCGACCTGAATATGCTTGATGAAAATAATGTTGAAATCCACGTTCACGCACATGACAGAATTAATGTGAAGAAATATGTATCTGAACATCGTTTCGAAGTATGTGAGGCCGTATTTTATCTCCATTCGGACGTGAAATAATATAAAAATTAATTTCGTGGCTCAATCTTTCCTGCCGTTGTGGACAATTGCGCGCCGATCTCATAAAATAAATACTACTAGATATACCATTGCACAGTCATAAAAGAACCAGCTCAACTTTATCTTTGTTTAGGTGTTTTTAAAAAATTTGTTTCCGAAGCAAAGCGTCTCGATCTACATTATAAATTAATTCATAGACTAGATTGTAGTTCCAAGTGTTTAAACTTATTTTAAAATGTCATAAAAAAACTTACAGAATTATTGAAAAACATTTCTAATAAGTAATATATTTTATTACGTCCGCCCGCTCGATGGCCTTATGCAAATGGCACTTGACATGCCAATCAACAGGGAATCTGGGTCATAGCATGTGACCCCCCAAGTTTCACGGATCGAGTGACTTCGGCATGGGGAGCTATCGGACAAGTGTGACTTTGCCAGAACACATTGCTATCGGGCAATGAAAACATGTGACGGAAACGACAATAAACTACTTTCATCACGTGAAAATATTTGTGACCATCACCAGGGATTTTTACACGATCGTTGTCATCCAGATTCCAGATGAAAGCAAGACGAACACAACGACAAACGAAAACATAACACTGTTAAAATCACCGATTGCCGTATAAATTATGAAAAATGCTATTCATAAACTATAAAGGCGTCGTACACCACAGGATTACGATTATGTTTTTTTGTTCAATTACACTGCTCTTCTTCATCACAACAAACGTATTTCGTTCTCGTCCAGAGAATAGTGAAGAACTGTAATTTGTGTGTTGGACTGTGTTGGATAAAAAGCGATATTAAAACGTACGTCCTTTTTGTCAAACGGCCCACGTGGGTGGGTGTTTATATGGCGTCACCTGTTTACGCCTTAACAAATGAAATTTGTGTGTTATCATGACGTCATATTGACCTGTCAGATCACTCGTATAAGCTCCGCCCACAAAAGTGCGGTAGTCACTACCGCAGATGCCTCTCTAAACTATATCATTAAATCAATCACATTTGATGTTGTCAATGATTTTAATTGATCATTTTAATGAACGATAACATATTGCACTTAATTTGTCACATTGCATTTTTCATATAATCAAAGAATAAATCTGTAACTTGTTTTGTCGATTGTATGTTGATTATTTTGCATAACTCTGTGCATGTGTGCGTGCGTGCGTTCGTGTGTCATTTAGCCACCAAGGCCAGTAACTTAATGAGAAGTAGTGGGATGCATATGGGCAACGGGTATTGGGTGGATGCCAGCGGGTCCTGTGTTGTACTTTGGCCTACACTACATACCGGAATGTCAAAAATGAAAGTTTCTGAGAAGACAATTTGTGAAATGTTGAACATCCTCATAGATACTAGGTTTTAATACACCACTGTGGTAATCTTGTTGTTTTACTGTCCCTTTTATATATTTTAAATGTATTTATTATTAAAAACGTCCCATTTTAATTCTGCAAACCCATTTGTCCAGAAGCTCTCCATGCTGTGCCCAGTCTCTGTCAAAGGTATTTACAAAAGTGAACATGCTGTTCACATAAAAAGGAAGAAACAATGTAAAATATCTTTCGAAAAATCTTTAAACTATGTTAGAGACTATTTTCCCTTGCTCAAAACTCATGTATTTCTTTTGCAAATACTTAAAAAATTGTCTACAAGAATCATGACAGATGATTCAACTCATTTGAACTTAATTCAACTAATTTGTGGCGTTATTAAAATATGACGCCCATTGGCGAGAATATTTTCCTTTGGTCAACGATATGACTGAAATATTGCCCATGTGAATTAAAATGTAACGCTTTCGATCAAAACTCTTGTTTTTCTTTTGCAAATACATACCTGTTTGTCGACATGCACCATGACACATTCAACTCATTTTAACTTGATTCAACTAACTTGTGACATTATTAAAATATTTCGCCTGTGGGCGAGAATATTTTCCTTTTTCTCAAAACTTCGGTGTTTCTTTTGCAAAGACATAAAGGTGTTTCTACAAGCATCATGACACATAATTTGACTAAAACATGGGAACAGTTTAGAAAAAAACAACAGCCTTCTTATGATAATTCCCATATTCTCATTAGTACGTTGTATAAAATTACAGTGTCGGCCTTATTTACAGGTGAGTCTACAATAACTGCTCTCGTTCAATTACAACCTGCCACACAACCCGTGAATAAACAGTTATGTAGTTGTTGTTGTGGGCAAATATCTAGCATGTATGTATATTTTTGTGGATACATGTATTACATATTTTCGTTAATTGTGGATATATTTAGCACAAAGACACAAAAAGTTTATGAATTGGTGCCTTCATGTGTTCAACATAAACGAATCTTGTATTTTCCCCGCGATCCTGATATGCATAATCGTTTAATGGGCCATTCAATAAAAATCGCTGGTGGACGACCCGTTTTTCGGTCTGGGTGTTGTGCGTAGGAGAGCACAACTTCGGTTTGCAACAGATAAAAGATTCCTGTAAGTGTTCAAATGGTTTAATTTGACATACTGACTTCAGAAAATGTGTGATTTCATAAAAAAAACATGAACATGCCAAAATGTCAATTTACAAATCAATAGCGTGTGTGTCCACCTCTGGTTGCGATGCAAGCAACACATCTTCGTCTCATGGAATGGACCAGGCTTCGCAAAAAGTCCTGTGGGATACCTGTCCATATCTGCTGGAGCATGTTTCGAAGTTCCTGGAGTGTCTGTGGAACACGTGGTTGACGTCGAAGGCGCCGATCCATCTCATCTCACATGTGCTCGATTGGTGAGAGATCAGGGGAGCGAGCTGGCCAGGGGATGACATTCACGTTGTTTTGTTGAAGAAAATCCTGAACAAGTCGAGCAATATCAGGCCGGGCGTTGTCATGTTGAAAGGTAATGCCCGGGCCATGACGACGCAAAAACGGTAGAACAACAGGGCCGATGATCTCGTCGCGGTAGCGCTGTCCATTGAGATTTCCCTCTTCCACTATCAAACGGGTCCTCTGTCTTGCTGTAATCCCATCCCATACCATAACGCTGCCGCCCCCGAACCGATCTTCTTCCATGACACAATGATTGACGTAACGTTCACCTCGACGTCGGTACACTCGAATCCGTCCATCGCTGTGGCTGAGGTGAAAACGATACTCGTCAGTGAATAGAACTTGTCCCCACTGCATGGCCGTCCAGCGTAGACGCACACTGCACCACTGCAGACGTGCTTGACGGTGGTTTCCTGTAAAAATGGGACGTCTGGTGGGTAAAGATATTCGTCGAAGGCCAGGGATGCTTCTTGCAGTCACTGTTGCTGGCTGGAATCGATTTCGTAGATGTGTTGTTCGAATCCAGTTGTCTTGTCGATGATTTTGGTTACGCGTGGCCTGCCACTCTGAGGATGGTCTCTGACCGCATTCGTCTGTTGCCAACGTTGCCATAAACACCAAATGGTGTTTCTGTGGACGTTAAATTGTCTTGCAACATCACGTTGACTCGATCCTGATCAAAGCATACCAATGGCTCGTAGACGCTCATTTTCGGACAGGCGTGGCATTTCGTAATCTTGAATAATTGCGTAATTTTGTTGTAGTTCTGAGTGGTTGTTGTCCGCACGATGCTAAACAATGCATATGGAATCCCGTTAAAGCACATGTTTTTATACCAATTCTTTGGTAGTGAAATGCATTGGGCTTGCAAAAAGTCAGCTTGGAATGCATGCTTTTCTGGAGAAGTTTCGTTTTTGTGACTTGATTCCACATGTGTACTACAGTACAGAAAACCAAGCTTTACTTGTTTGAAAAATACACTAAAATATTGGTGTCACAGGAACTTTTGTTGTTGAATATGATTCTTGTTTGTGTGCCCTCCCCTTTGAAAAATGTGGGCGGTCGGGTAGCTAAGTGGTTAACGCGTTCGCTAGTCAGGCCAAAAACCCGGGTTCGATTCCCCACATGGGTACAATATGTGAAGCCCATTACTGGTGTCCCTCGCTGTGATATTGCCGGAATATTGCTAAAAGCGGCGTAAAATAATAAAATCATACCACTCACTGAAAAATGTATCACTAAAGTATTGACATTGTAATAAATATAGTAATGAATAAAACTTGGTAATTTGGTGTGTCTCCGATAGATATGATTTTCAGTTTTATGTCAGCTTTGGTTAATAGGGATTACGTTCATGTAGTCACTTTCTCTTTTGTATCTGCTTATTAGAAATTCCAAATGTCATTTTAGCACTGTTGCTAAAATAAGGCAGTTTCTTTTATCGGATATAAATAGTTGATTCGTCTGGTCACGCAGTCATTTTTACTTGATCGAATGATTTCCACGAAACATTTTAATCAACTCACGTGATCCCTCCTACTGATTATTTCATATAATCTATATCAACCTTCAACTTACAGGTAAGTCTCGTTTAATCTACGATTATATTTCTACCAATCACGACGTAGATCGTGATCACGTGAGATGTTGAAAGCACAGGTGTTTCAGACAAAGAACAAATGCTGAATATAAACTGACAGCTAGTTTAATATTAATAAGCAAATATGAACAAACGAAACGTCCAAATTAGCAAACAACCACTTGCAAGGTCTATGTACTTCTACTTCCAAGTTCTTGGAATGTGACGAGTCTCCATGATTATTTGCTTAATCGTTCAGCGATTGTCGAGGATGGCTAATGCGAACGTATTACCAATCACTGGTTTGTATTTGAACTTGGAGAAAGTCACAGAACTACTCCACCCTGACGTTTTCAGAACCCAACCATCGTGAATGTATCATGCAATCGTATTATTTTTAGGAAAACATTTAACTACAGACCATCCCATCGATTTCCCATGTATTCGGAAGTAAAGAGCACATACGGGTGTATAATCTCTGCCCAAAGTTGGAACTGTCAAAGCAATAAACCATGCATGAAACGGTATGAATCATACATTACACACAGCGAATTCCATTAAACAATACTGTGCTATACACAGAAAACACGATACATATGATGATGAAGAGAACCAATTACAAAAGTTCTCACATCAAATCCGTTGTTTTACATGTGTTGTTTATTGAACTATGTCATACTTAATAGAAGGCCGTATCTAATCGTGTTGAACAATAATTTGCAATAACTCTGTTAAGGGAGAATTATTTAGTGCACGTTAGATGCCTGACCTGAATTCTCATTTCACTCTCTTTTCATTTTACAGACTCTATTTTTTAGAGAAACCAAAACGGCGTTCAATTAAAAACAAACTAACCAAGCATGTTCAGAACATGTTTAATATTAAGTTGTTAGTGACGATGTCCGGAGTACAACTCTTCTTTAGAACAGACCGTGTCAATCAGAAAATTACATGAATGGATAAATAATGTCAGCTAATTACCAGAAATAGTCAGATGCATCACTTAACTACATACAGACAATTTTAAAGTATCTCTTATTGCTGAAAAAGAATAGCATCAACATTTCATGCACATGATTTATATGTTTCGTTTCGGTAACTGCAGGGCTTGAAATGTTAAATAAACCAACATGACGAAATACATGCTATAAAATTAAACTAATCCTTATACTTCCCTTCAGGGCGAGGAATAAACTATGTCAAATTAAAATGCAACAATTCTAAAGAAAAGATAAATGTTTCATATTTCTGCAGTGTTATATATACACCGTGCACGGATTGATATTTAAAGTTATAGAGTTGAGATTTTACCTCATTCCTATTTTTCGTTTCAGAAATTGTGAATGTTGTAGGCAAACAACTATATTGTACCTTAGCTGTGTCATTTACAGTATGGTTAGTACCAACGATATGACGGGGGCGGCCATTTTGAGTTTGTCAAATTTGGAAGTATTGTCTTAGATATTGCAGTCAGTTTTGCACGTAGCGATCATGGTATTCCATAGCGAATATGACATGTGAATTCGTGATATTGTTATAGAAGAAAATTGTGCATTTTGAAATGGTTTGATAAACAATGTCTTCTTACGTTCTTTCTCTGTTCATTTTGTTATGAAAGTGAAATACAATATTTACTGAACACTAAGAATGTAACGATACTCTACATTGCAGGGACAAAACCTGAAAAGCTTGACACAATGCAAGGAAAAATGACAACATTACATTTTATGTCGTGCGTTATTGTGTGAAATCCTTGGTAAAACAAAACAGGATTCTTGAAGAAGGTAATGGACGTGCATCAACACGCACACATTTGGACACGGAACTTGTTTTTTATATAATTGTAATGGTTAATCTAGGCAGAACAATTCACCACTTGTCTTTGAGTGAGTTCTGTCGTTGGTTGTCTTCAGATTTCGTTTTACAAAAAGGTCACGAAGGCCGGATCAGCTGTCATTTGGTGGCCTTGTAATTCACTAGCTTCATCGGGAAGGACATCTACTTCCTTCAACAGGTTCAACTCGTTTTCATCTTGTTACACGTTCACTTCTGTTTAGTTCTGTTGTGTATCTTCTCCTCCTTTCTTTGAAACAACCCAGGGTGGTGGGGTGGCCCAGTGGTCAAAGCGTTCGCACGTCACACCAAAGGCAGGGATTCGATTCCCTACATGGTTACAATGTGTGAAGCCAATTTCTGGTGTCCCCCACTGTAATATTGCTGAAATATCATGAAACACAACCTAAAAGCATTCTCACTCAGTCTTTGAAATTCCCAAACATGCTGTCAACTTTTATATGAATACTGCTGAGAATGATATGAATGTTTGCCTTCTCGGATAGTTCGTCTTGAACTTGTTGTATTTGCCTTCAACATGTAAGGTTTTCAAACACTATGAAGGTGACACAAAGTGATAGAACTGAAATACTGCTCTTCGTAAAATGTACATTTAAACCTCTAGGCATATCTAAACCGTAGCATCATGTACACAATGTTTGGAAACTTCAACTTTCTCTTTTGAGATATGTTACGACAGGAAGCACTTCTTAGCGTATTACGCACTCCATGTACGATCAGACACACAGTGGGTGTCTGCAAACCAACGTTATTACTGGCGGTAAGATATTCACTCGTAATAAGTATTCTGCAACTCTTGCTGTGTGTTCGATGCTGCCTAAACACTGATTCTGTATGTGATTGTGGGTCAGATAAACGAGTCGAAACACTCGGTATGCCAACGGTGTATATGGTCCTCCCCTCACTAAGTAATGGTGAAATCACACTCAATACTAGTTTCCATTTATGGATGCCTTTATCATATTCTGAAACAACATTTGTAAGTGTTGATGGTCTGCTAGAAAAGACCTGCATTCAGTAACCTATCTACTTAAAGAATCATGTTAACGCAACATGAGTTGTGTACCTTGCCCCTTGGGAGAGATTACCCCAGGGATCAACATGGTACGTGTAAACGTATCTTAAGAGGCTAACTAAA